TAGACATTCAGTAAATATGAGTGAGTGAGTGAGTGAGTGAGTGAGTGAGTGAGTGAGTGAGTGAATGAATTCAGAACTAACATTTTTTGAGTGCCTCCCATTTCCATAGCAGCACTCTGGGTGCTTTTCCATTCTTACCTTTCGTGGCCAACCTTCCCCACCCATTCTGCGAGGCTGACTTACAGAGCAAAACACTGAGCTTCGGAGGTGGGATGGGATCTGGCCAAATTCACACAGATGATGAACCTGGAACTCGACTTCCAGACTACTGCTCTTCTCCAAATCCATTAGGCAATGTTCTCCTTCTAATATCCATTTTTAAGCATTCATAAAAATGACCTGAGGTTATGTAGGTAGAAGGCTAAAACCAGGATTTGAACTTGTATCTGATCCCAGTGTTTTCCATTGTCAGGACAGACGTGCCCCAGGGCCTTGTGGATCACATTTCAGGAATCTCAGGGTGGGACTGTCTCACCTGCAGCTCCTGCCCTCCGTCCTTTCCAGAGCTTATGCCTCCCCCCCTCCTCAACCTTGGGTGCTGGCGAGTTACCATACGAGTGGGTCTGTGCCTGAGCTCCTGCAAAACAATGCCCCGCCAGTCTGGAAACCAGACGGCAGCAAGCACCGACCTTGGTTAGAACAAGTGTGGGCAGGCTGAGAGCCGAATCCTGTTTCCACAACCTCTGTGCCTACAGCTCCACTTCCTAGTTTATAGAGAGGTCAGGAGAGGGCCCCCAGAGCAGCCACCAGTCTGGTGTGCTGACAGGGAGGTGGACAGCCTTGCCATAAATCCCTGGCAACTATTCCACAGCTTCCAACCATCTCTGCTGGTGGTCAGCCAGTATGCTGTGATGATTAAGAGCACCGACTTGGGAGTTAGGCAGACCCAGGCCCAAGATTCTACCACCTTCTACCTGGGTGACCTCAGGCAAAAGTCCTAGCCTCTCTGAGCTTCGGTTTCCTCATTTGTAACATGAAAATAATGATTCCTCTTCTGGACGGTCATTAAAAAGACTGAATGCTATAAATCTTGTAAAATACCTAGCTTGGTGCTTGGCCCAGAACACCCAGCCCATGGTGGCTGGGGTGAACTTGGCCTCCCCTGCTGGCAGCCCTGAGGAAGGAAGACTGTAAGTAGCCTTTATTTCTCCGTGGCCTCCCTATGACCACACTCAGAAGGTAGAAGGAAATAACCTTCCTCGTGTTTAAGAGCATAGACTTTTCTGTTGTGAGACCCTGGGCAAGTTATTTATAATCTTTCTAGGCCTCAATTTCCTTGAAGTATAATCATTACTTCTAATTAATGGAGCCATAATTAATCTAACTTAATAACAGCAGGAAGTTATCTGTACTCACGGTCCCTACTTCCTCACCCCCAATTCTGTCTTACGGCTATCCCTGATGGGCATTTGTCCTGACACCGCATTAGAACCTCTCCAGTCCAGCTCACAAGTACCGCCACATTGTCAAACCCAATGGGGACTTTCCGACCTCTGCCTCTGACACAGCTGATCCTCCCTCCTTTTTTCACTTGGTTTCTGGAACGATACCCATTCCTGGTTCTCCTCCACTATGGCACTCCTCATTTCCATAGCTGGCAGCTTGTTTTCCCAACATTTTGTTGTTGGAGGGCCCTATCACTCATTCTCTCCTGTGTTCACTCCTGGGTGATCCCCAATCCCATGGCTTTGGATCAAGCATACACACTGGTGGATCGTGTACTTCTGTCTCCAGTACAGACCTCTCCCTTGAGTGGCCCATTTACAAAGCCGGTGCAGCTCGGGCATGTACATGCAAATGCCCGGTGTATCTGACAAGCCTCACCAAAATAGGAACTCTTCATTTTGCCCGTTTCTCCCTACTCGCACTGCTTTGTCCTGGGGCTTCTCCGTTTCCAGAAATGGTAACCAGTTATTCAGGTGAGGTACCTGGGAGTCTCCTTGATTCTTCTCTGCGCGCCCTACAACCAGTCCATGGATAAGCTCTGCATCCCACATCTGAGCACTTCTCACTCCCCACCAGTCCAGCCCCTGCTCTCACTGATGCCCTGCACTGGCCCCAGCTTCTCACTCCTACGTCCACTCCTGCCCCACGATGGTGGTTACTGTCTGTTCACTACGCAGGAGCCAGAATGATCTCTTAAGAGGGGAAACCAATCGTGTCACCCCCACCCGCGTCAAAACTCTCCAATAGTGTCCCATTGCAACCAAGCTGAAATGGAGGCTTCCAAGGCCTCCTGCCGTGTAATCAGCCCCCTGCCGGCCCTGCCCTTCTCACTTCCTTCCTCTCCTCCCTCTTTCACCCAGCTTCAGCTGAACCAGAATTGAAGTGATCTCGCTTCAGGACTTCTGCATTTGTGGTCTCTTCTGCCCCCCAAATTCCATAATGCACATCTTTTCATGCTTGCTCCCTCATTTCATTCAGCTCAAATGTCACCACCTCCAGGAGGCCCCTCCTGATTCCCCTCTATAAATTATTCCCTTTGCCTTCAAATCACCCTAACCTGTCATCATGCTTATATTTCTACAGTGTTCATCTCCATCTGAAATTTTATTTTGTGCACATATGTACAATATGTATACACATGTGTGTAC